CCCCCATCCCAGGCCCCAAGAAAACCTTCCACATCAAACAGATGTTCACCTGCACATCTGCTAATGTGGTATACTGCATCTGATGTGGCCTCCTGTACATCAGGGAAACCAAGTGGAGCACCTACGCTCAGTTCACGACAAACAACTGCACCTCCCAGTTGCGAACCACTTCAACTCCCCCTCCCACCCTTTGGACGACATGTCCATCCTGGGTCTCCTCCAGTGCCACAATGATGCCACCTGAAAGTTGCAGGAATAGCACCTTATATTTCACTTGGGAACCCTGCAGCCAAATGGTATCAATGTGGACTTCACAAGCTTCAAAATCTCCCTGTCCCCGACCACATCCCAAAACCAGCCCAGCTCATCCCCGCCTCCCTAACCTGTCTGTCCTTTCTCCCACCTATCCATTCCTCCCACCTCAACTCCCACCCCCACCTCCACCTCCTGCCTACCAGCCTCATCCAGCCTCCTTGACCTGTCCGTCTTCCCTGGACGGACCAACCCCCACCCTAACTCCCCACCTACACTCACCTTTACTGGCTCCATCCCTGCCTCCTTGACCTGTCCATCTCCTCTCCACCTATCTGCTCCTTTATCCATCTTCTATCCACCTCCCCCTCTTTCTATTTATTTCAGAATCCCCTTCCCCTCCCCCATTTCTGAAGAAGGGTCTAGGCCCGAAACGTCAGCCTTCCTACTCCTCTGATGCTGCTTGGCCTGCTGTGTTCATCCAGCTCTACACCTTGTTATCTCAGACACAGGGATGGCTGCCTGGAACCATTGTTCAGCCTGAAAATCCAATTCAGACTTTGAGTCTAGAAGAACAATGAACCAGACCTAACACTCTAGACTGAAACTAACTTTTACCCTTCGGGCCATCCCACCCAGACATTATGGAGCCTCTGCAGATACCAAGACATTCAACGTCAATCAATATTTATGCACAGAGACATTGGCCATTCCATTTAATCAAAATACATTCACACCTACTGTTAACTATCAGGATGCCAATTGCCTCAAAGGGAATACCAGTAACACAATGGCAAGCGCAGATTTGGCCCGAAGATAAGAGACCCGCAGTTAGTATAATTGCAGGCCCCATACCTCACTGGAGAGCACGATTCGCCCAGGGAGCTATCCCCACAGCTACCACCAGGAGAAGGATCCGAAAGAGCTACCGTCCCACAAGCGATCCCCACAGCCATCTCCAGACCAGGAATCCAGACAGCAATCCCAAAACCTACCGACACAGGCCTATCCCATGCTGGGGCAACCGACCACCAATGACCTCCGAAAGCCACCAGCCCGATTGATAAGGCCTCAGACACATCCTGAGGTGAAAACCTGTTCGCGGAAACCACTACAAAGTAAGGAAAACCAATAAATCCACCACGCGTCCTACCGCATCAGCGGACTCCACACAGACTGACGGCCTACACCGTCCGAAGTCTTCATTGAAGCACCGGCTACGGCAAGAGGGAACGGCCAGCAGTATTTCAAAATGGTGTTTATCCCCAGTGGTGAGTTTATATTCTTGAGACCCCAAAGTATCCAACCTAGCTAGCAGGGAGGGGATGGTGGGTGGTTACAGTGCAGGGAACCCCAAGGGTACGAAGCCTGATAAATGTTACAGTGATTAAAACCCTGTTGTCTAGTTCTAATAGTGTTTAAACTGTATTTGCTTTAATAGTGTTTAGTTACTGTCCTCTGTATAATTGATAATGTCAACTTCACAATTTTTTACATTTGCCTTTATTTCTTGCGTTATACTTACCTTTTGTATTTAAGTAAACGCAAAGGTTCTTTTTGCCCTAAAACACCTGCCTACTGCCTTCTTCAATTCACATTCCCAAAATAAGACCAGTGTCAGAACCAGAGATCTGGGGGTGATTTGAACCACCTAAAAACCAGCAAATTACTGATCGCAAACCGGAACCCCTACAGTAATAAGTCACTGCAAACAAATTATTGGTCTAAAATCATCTTTGCCATTGAGGGTGTCAAAGCTATTTCTACATAATTTGTGGATGAATCAAATATTTTCTGTTCTCTTCAGAATTATCAACATTTTTTTCTCTTCAATTCGTTTTTTACAAAGTTTCGATTTGTACCACTGACTGAATTTTCTTCAACTCAGACTAGATGCAGGTGTGACACAGTAGTGAATTTGCGATGACCTTGATGCACATTAGAATGGCCGTTCTATGAGGTCTACCTGTTTTGTAAGAAAGTAAAATCATTAGTGTCAATGCTGTGATAGGGAAGCAGTGCAATGTGTTCCTTACCCATTGATCATGTCCTTGCATGTTCCTCGGTTGATACATGGATTGCTGGCACATTCGTCAATATCTGTCTCGCAGTCAACTCCCTCATAACCAGAAGCACATAAACAGTCATAGAATGCAATGTTGTCTCTACACGTACCGCCATGCTGACAGGGGTTCGATTCGCATTCATTTATTTCAACTTCACAGTTCAGACCTTAGGAAATTAAAAGATAAATGTAGATTTTAAACAAAACTTTGTACTTTTGATTTTCAGTAGGAGCATTTCTACATAGAAAACAATCAAAGATTTAGAAAATAGGGTTTTATTCAGTAGAATGAAAACGAAGGAAGTGTGATAATGAGGGAGAAACAGGTAAATAAAGATGGAAAGGTGAAGAATTTTCTTTGGGGTCACTCAGAATTCAAGCATTAGCTCACACAGATGTCAGCTGAACCTCAATCTGATAGACAGTGCTTATGTTATTCCTCCAATCAGAATCCAAACACTCGACCATGGTGACAGTCTGTTTCAGTAATGGTATTTTGGAAATAAACTCAAATTTAAATTTTTAAATTTAGGATTGAAAAGCCATAGCAACCGTCTATAGTTTAAGAAACATACCAAAAGGCTACAACAAGAAAAATAGACTTGGCTTGTAATTTTGCAAAATTTAAATAATTGATGATTTGAACATAATATTGGCTGCTTCTGCAATTGCTGAGGAGTTTAATGAGTCCATAAACATTTCATGGACATTATTCAAGAGGTTTCATGACAGTTTCTGAAATTATCTTTAGATTTGGGAAAATATTCTATCTGTGGCTCTAACTGCAATTTTTCCCATTATAGCTGCTTGTCTGAAATACCGTAAAAATGTAAACTCAAGAGATACAGTCATCTCACAAGCTCAGTTGGAATCATAGAATTGTTAGTGCAGAAGAAGGTCATTTGATCCATCATGTCCATGATAGATCCCCTAAGGTGTACTTCCAGTTGTAATATATCTGTATTCTGCTGGGGGTCCTAAAGTTGTACAGTTTGTAACTATCTATCCCATGGCATTCAGAAGTCATGCATCATAGCATTTAATTCTAACAGTTCCATTCTCCCTGAGGAATAGGGAAAACTGCAGACCACAAACTCATGAAACACTGCTGGTCCTTTAGAGGACATAGTGCTGGCCCTGCACATGACCACAAAAAATGTCAGGTAGTGCTGCTGTGTCTCTAACATTGTAAAAATAAACAACCTGTTTTTCACTCCTTAGGAGCACCAAAGTGAGGTCAGCCATTCCCAGAGCAAAACTTGTTGGAAAATGTACAATAAGTCAGAATTTAGAAAACAGGTTAAATATTATCTGATAATGAATATAATTTGTTTACCCATTCATGGAAGAACTGCTGATAGTATAGCTTCAACGACTCAGTGAGTGACAGTGTATTTTATCACATGTAATAACTTGCAGTGTAGCTAGTGGAGTTCAAGATGAAGTACAGACTTGTGGTTATCACCGCAATGTCTAGAGCCCCAATGAGCCAAACCAACTCTGCTTATGAATGGAGTCCAACAAGATATTCATTAGATTCATAGACAACATTTAGGTACTGAATAGTAAAAGAATAAATGATTAACTCTACCTTCTGTAATTGTATGAAATTTTTAAAAAAAAGGACATTGCCAGTAATTGTAAAGTATTTTTGTCAGTCAGTTTCCTTTATTTTCATCTGGACTGATGACTAGTAACACTCACTAGAATTCTTTGCTACCAAGCCCTGTACACAACTGCATGTGAGCATACACATTCCTGTGTCTAATATGTCCCAACCTTCATCTGATTACAATATAAAAAGTTTTAGGTAAAATAAATAAACTCAGTCCATCGTCAGTATAAACCCAGGGAACAACACCCAATTATTCTACTGGGCATCTTATTGTCTTCCAGACTGAACATTGAATTCAACAATTCCAGACAACAATCTCTGCACCATTTTGTTTCCCTTATTTTTAGAGGTTTTAGATTAGCTGTTGCTTTCCTCTTTTTTTTTTTGCTTTAATGTTCTGTTATTCACACCTCCTCTAGACGCGTTTCATTTCTTTACTTGCTCCCATTATCGATTCCTTTTGCTCTTGACCCCACCTCTGCTGCACTGCTAATTTCTGGATTTACTCTTTATCATAGACTTTCTATTTTGCTCTTCATTCACCATGAATTCACCGCCCCCTCCCTTAATTTGTCTGGAACCTGTTACCTTTCTATTCTGTACTAGGCTGGTGAAAGATCAACGGCCTTAAACGTTGGGCTGAATTTTAATATATGAGAAATAGGAGCAGGAAAAGATCGTACAGTCAGCCAAGCCTGCTGGGCCATTCATGGGTGAAATTGGGCTTCATCCCTGGAATGACTGTACACAAGGTCAGCCAGGTGCACTTCACAGAATAGGAGTTCCCTGATTGAGGCTGTTAACTCAGTACAATCAGGGAGCCCTAGCTGACAGAGTTAAACAGGAGTGTCAGGTTCTGTTTACTCTGAGAGCTGGCTCTGCAGAAGCTGGATCAGTGTCAAGGACTCTCCATGCAGAAATAAAGGGTGACCTGGTGATGGGATACTGGCCTCTGTGGAGTTATTTCAATTCCCACTTTGCTGACTGGTCCCCATATCACTTAATTCCTGAGAGAACAAAACTCTGCCTATCTCAGCCTTAAATATGTTCAAAGTTAGAACTCCACAACTCTCTGGAGCAAAGAACGTTACGATAATAGTAAATATGACCTATTGATTTTTAAATTCCATCATCTGGTTGTTATATTTGGGATGTGTCATGGAGTACATTTCTTTTTATAAAGGAAGACTCGTGGACCTAAAATGACTGCAGTGGTCACCTGGCCCCAAACTGAAGCCTGATTTGTGGGATCCATGTGAAACAAACTAAAGCATCTGCACTGAAATGATCATTTTATGTAAAGTCATTGAAACCAGATAACTGAGTCAATGTGAAGAAATTTGCATCTTCTGTTTAATTCACGCTTCATACATTGGGATAACTTCATATATTGGGAGATAAAAGGCCTGTCTGCCAGTTAGCCAGCTTGGAAATACAGTGGAGCTGGACTCTGGAATATATAATGAACTATAGCTCAACAGGTACTTTTAAGCAGCAGATCAGAGAGAAGAAAATGAATCCATAAGAGCAGAATCTGGGAGCTGTGCTCTGTCTCTCTCCCTGCCTGGTTCTCTCATCTCAAATAAATAGTGCCTAGTGAAAAGCAACTTGCATAAACAGCTATTCACTGAGGACTTAAGATATTTACAGATTCTGCTACTGCTGAAGATGTGAATCAACAACTAATCAATTGTACTGCAGGTTTAAAACCTTAAAGATTATAAGGACTTGTATACTTCATATCCTTATTTCTCCCTATCTGTACCAGACACTTTAAGGTTATTATGTGTGTTTGTGTGTATGTTTGATGTTGTGTTTTTACTCTTTGTTTCCATGGGGTTACCAAATAATAAGATTTCTCTTTTTTTTCACTTGGTAGTTGGCTCTGTCAATTTCTAGTGAACTATGTTTTAATTAAAAGTGCAATTGCTGCTTGCTAAAAGAAGACAAATATTGATGACCAGATGGTGATTAAAATAAGGGAAGCCAATACCTCCTCCTCATCTGGTTGTACCAGGAAACCCAGAAATTCACAGAGAATCAGCAAACATCCCCACGTCTGACCTTATGATGGAGGGAAGGTCATTGACAAAGTAGCTAAAGATGGTTGGGCTAACGACAGTACCCTACAGAGAAGTCCCAGAGCTGGGATGACTAATCTCTAACCAACATAACCATCTTCCTTCATGCCAGGTCTGATTCCAACCACTAGAGAGATATCCTCCTGATTCCTATTGACTCTAGTTTTGCTGGAGCCTCTTGATGTGCTGTACTTGATCAAATTTGGCTTGATGTCAAGGGCTGTCACTCTCACCTCACCCCTGGAATTTAGCTCTTTTGTTCATGTTTGAACAAAGGCTGTAATGAAGTCAGAGGCTGAATGACATTGGTAGAACCCAAACATGGCATCACTGAGCAGGTTATTGTTGAGTAGGTGCTGCTTGGTAGCGTTGTTGATGACACCTTCCATCACTTTACTGTTGATCTAATGGGGTAGTAATTGGCTGAGCTGGATTTGTACTGCTTTTTGTGTCCAGAACCTAACTTGGCAATTTTCTTGGGAGTGATGTGCGCGGTTCTGGTCGCTACACTACAGAAAAGATGTGGAGGGTTTGGAGAGGGTGCAAAAGAGGTTTACCAGGATGTTGCCTGGATTGGAATATTAGCCATAATGAGACGTTGCCAAACTTGAATTGTTTTCACTAGCGTGTTGGAGGCTGAGGGGCGACATAGTAGAAATATATAAAATTATTAGTGGCATAAATAGAGTGGATAGTAGGAGTCTTTTTCCCCAGAATGGAAATGTCAAATACTAGAGGGCATAGGTTTAAGGTGAGAGAGGGAAAGTTTAAAGGTGATGTGTGAGGTGAGGTTTTTTGCCCCCAGAGGGTGATAGGTGCTACGAACAGGAAGGTGGTAGAGGCAGATATAATAGCAATGTTCAAGAGGCATTTAGGCAGACACAAGAACAGGCAGGGAATAGAGGGATATGGACCACATGCAGACAGATGGGATTAGTTTAGGATGGCATTATGGTCAGTGCAGACACGATGGCCCAAAAGGCCTGTTCCTGTGCTGTACTGTTCTATGTTTCTCCACATTGTCAGGTAGATGCCAGTGTTGTAGCTATACTGGAGCAGTTAGGCTCAGGACTCAGCAAGTTCTGATGCAGGTCTCCAGTATCCTTCAGTACCCTTCCACTGTTCCCAGTTTGGCTGCCATTAATCAGGAGCCACTTCTCCTGCACCAATCTTTAAGCCACACATTCATCCTCTCATAATATTTGCCATATGTTAATTTGAAAGTAGCTCAGCTTATAGTGTGGGGATTATGACTTTTGAGATTCTATTTTTTTAATGTGGCACCTAGCTCCTCTTACTGACAATACAAACCTCCTCCTTTATCATGCCTATGTCATTGGTACCTACAGGGACCACAACAGCTGGATGATCTCCCTTTCACTGCACCTTCCTCCCCAAGTCTTGAACCCTGGCACTGAGCAGGCAGCACAGCTGTTTGCATGTATGCTCTTTGCTGAAAAGAGTTATGAAC